CCCATCCTCGCCCACCAAGCCATCTGCCCCTGAGGTCCGAGGTGGACTGGGTGCCTGAAGGAGGTGCTGAATCAGAAATTCTTCATCTTCTGTGCGCTCGGCGGTAGCACCGCCTGGCCCAGCAAGCAGCTCAGAGCCATCTCCTTTTCCCTTGTAGCCACCTGCTCCAGCGGCATAGCTGCTGGCTCCAGGGGGGGCCAGAAACGGAGCTGAAGCTAAGACTGAACTTAAGTATTTGCCAGGGGCTCCTGGAGAGCCAACGCCAGGAGGGCGACCAGTAGCAGGCGGTGACTGGAGGGGTCGGATGATATGAGAAGGGCTGGCCTCTCCACCACCTCCCAGAGAACTGGGGCCCCAGCCACCTCCATGGCCGGAGAGAGCTGGTGAGTGGCCAGTACTATAGCTGAGAGAGGGACTGGCTGTGGGGAGCCCCTGTGAATGGGCAGCTGGCCCTGGGTAAGGCTCACCCTGTACTCCGTAGAGCTGGCCTTGGAGCTGGTCTGGAGAGTAACTCTGGCAGGTAGCCAGACCAGGAGGTGGGGGACCGCTGGGGGGCTGTGGGGGCCCACCAGAATAGCTAGGGCCTTTGCTTAAGTCCTGTGCTTGGCCCCCTCCAAACCCTTGCCCATAGGCCTGGGGTCCCAGAAGCCCTTGAGGCTGACCAGGAGAATACGCCTGGCCCCCAGCCCCTCCAGCTCCAGAGGCTTTTCCAGCAGCATAAGCAGCCGCTGGTCCACCCAGGCTCTGACACTTGGGTGTAGCGGTAGATCGAGGTGGTGGAGGCCTGGTGGCACCCCCTGTAGCTGGTCCATAACCCCCCTTACTTGTCTTGTAACCAGGGGACTGGATGATAGGGCGGTACCCACCACCACCCCCCGCCCCACCACCCCCAGCAGTCTCCGGGCCTGTGGCCCGGCCAGCTGCTCCAGCTGTGGCTCCACTGGGCCCACCCTTGCTAGGCTCTCCAGCACCTGGAGAAGGTTCCCCACCTCCCAGGGGGCTGCAAGCCAAGCTGGCCCGGTGGCCCATGGAGGGATAGCTGCCTCCGCAGCTCAGATAGTGCTGCAGGGAATGGGCTGGTGGTGGGGGTGGTGGGGGCTGGGCACTGGCTGGCCGCTGGTAGTGTTTGATGACCGTGTCCTGTCGGGGCAGGGCCCGCTCTGGTGGCGGACCTGGGGCGGCACCCGAGAAGTTGTAGAGCTGAGGGGAGGATGGCTCGGTAGCAGTGGCAGCAGAAGAAGAAGCCAGCAAATTGAACTGAGTTGGGAGGTGGCGGGGAGGTGGAGGTGGATCTGGGGGACCAGGGCGGTAAGGAGGGGTCTGAGCAGGGCCAAGGCCAGCAGGCCCCAAGACACCACCCCCTGCCAGGCGCTCAAAACCCAATGAAGAGGGCACTGCGGGTGCCTGCGAGGGCTTCAGGTGGAGCACATCATGGGGAGACAGGAGCCCATTAGCAGGAGGACTGAAAGGTGGATCCTGGAGGCTGAGGGATGAGGGCACTGGGAAGGGGCGGCTGCCGAAGGAAGCTGGGTGCTGATAGGCAGACAGTGCAGAGGAAGATGGAAAGGTGCTGGAACCCGGGAGGGCACCAGAGATGAAGAGCTCCGTAGGGCCTGGTGTGTGCATGGCTAGGGAAGGAGAAGATCACAGGTCAGAGCGGACCACGAGACAGCCCTTCTCCAGCCCTGAGGACTAGCACTAGCTTACCTGTTTGCCAGGAAGGACTTCGGAACTGGGAGAGGAGAGAGGAGGCGGAGGGGCCAGGCTGAGGGCCCCGGGACTCCAGGGCCGAGATGAGGTTCATGACGGAGGCGTCAGGCCCTGCTGAGCCTGCATGGTGGAGGCCAGTGTCAAAAAGTCCAGAGAGGCCTGGCAAGACACAAGAAGACAGGTCAGCCGGGTGGAGACCGGAGGTCAGAGAGAAAGAGAAAGCCCTAAGCATGCTCAGTTCAGAGGAAGGTGGGGGAGGAGCACACAAGCAAAGGGGACACAGTGCCTTGCAACGCAGTCCTGAGGCAGGAGGATCAGGCGTTCAAAGACCACCTGAGTAACTTACTGAGACCCCGGCTCAGAATTAAAGAAAGGGAGGGCCAGAGGGAAGGAAGGTGTTGCTAAGATTACATATGTAAGGCTCCAGGTTCGATTCCCAGCACCACAGAAACACCCACAAAAAGACAAGAGGCAGAAAACAGGGCAAAAGCCAATTAGGAGAACCAGGGGCCAATCTGAACTGGTTTAAAAAAAAAATCGAGAGGGAAGGGAACCAATCAGAGGGGTGGGCGGCATGGCCACAGTGGTGGTGGATGAGGTTACTCTAAGAAAAAAAGGGCGGGCCAAAGAATTGGAGCCAATAGAGAAAAAAAGGAACCAAGGAGTCAAAAGCCTCGGCAAACTCACAGGGAAAGAAAGGACTGGGATGGGCTAGAGAGAGGAGGAAAAGCCTGGAAGAGAAGGTGGGATTTGGGGGCCCTTGATGGATGGCAGCCAATAGGAGTGAAAGGGGCGGGCCCATAAAGGGATTGACGAATCCGGTGTGAAATAAAGCAGGGACCAGCAGCCTCAGAGGTAACCAATCAGAGAAGTGGTTTTAAAAAAAAAGAGAGAGAGGGCCAGGACCAAGGGCAAGGCCAATTAGCAGGGGCGGAACTTTTAGCAACCAATCAGGTGTCTTAGAGGGCAGGCCGGCCCCAGCCCTCCCGGATGGGGACCCGTACCTGCCGGGTGGTGGTTGGTGGCATAGCTTTGTAGTGGGTGGGGGGCCGCGTAGGCCTGGCGGTGCAAGATGTCGGTTTCTGGGTGCGAGGTCCGGGAGCTGCCATAGACCAAGCTGAGAGCAAGGGAGAGATGTAAGAATCTCTTTTCAAGCTACCCTCTGAGAAGAGAGCTGGGGGAACCTCCCACTTGACTAGAGGTGTTACTCCAAGGAACCCTGAGATAACACAAGGGAATCCAGCTGCCCCATGCAGGAAGCACAAAAACGACCCTATTCTTTGGAGCCCTTAAGAGTCCCACGTTTGCAAATACAGGCATACAGGGACAGAGGAAGTGGGAGGGGGGGTCTACAGTAGCCAGTGAAAGGCGTGGTCCTCCCCTGGCACCCTCCTCAGCCACAACAGAACCAAAGGTCCAACCCTGCAGGGACACATGGACACCCCAAGCCCCGCTGGAACAGCACAGACCCTGATTCAGGCACGCCAGAAGCAGGAGGCAGCTTGTGTTCCAAATGGCAAGGGGAGAAGGTGGAGAGGGGACAGGACCCAGGGAAAGTCCCAGGTACAAGTACTGACGTGAATTTGGTACATCCCTAGGGGCTGAGGCTCAAGTGCACAGGCTTAGGCAAAGCCAGGTGCATGAACAGACCGGAGCTCAATTCACAAGTGGAAAAGAAAAGATCCTGAGTGTGAAGTCCCACTCAAAAAATTTGTACACCCTGGGCTAACCCAAGTGCTAAGGGGGAGGGGCTGAAGGGCAGGTGAACAGTGAGGACGCGCAACACAGATTAAACGGCAAGAGGCAGGTTCGAAGGTGAACATGCGGCTAGCCACGCGTGCAAAGGGACCACGCGAACACAAACGAGGAAAAGATCTGAGTCTACCCCAAATCCGTGGCCCTGGACCGGAGGGCAAACAGTGTACCATCATCCAGGATTCTCAGGATTTGCGGGAGGTGGGGAGAAGGGGGCGTGTCCCTAATCCCAGGACCCCCCCAACACACAGAAACCTAGTTTAAGAAGGGGGCGGGGCCCCGTGCCCACTCTGCGCGCGGAATTTCTTGGAGGGGGGGGAGGGCCCGAGTGGCCCAGCCTCGCTCAGCTCCGGAACAATAGGACCTGGGAGGGGGTGCGCGCCCCCCAGGTCTGCGAGCTAATTCTCCTTTCCTCCCACCTTTGCAGTTGCAGAGCCAGGGGCGCCCAGGAGGAGGGGTCAGCAAGCCGGGAATCCAAAAATGAGGGGCAAGTCCAGGCCTTGCATTGCCAATCCTTCCCATCTTCCCAAGGCCTTCCCGGTTCGAATTTGTTTTTGTGCCTTGCCTGCTTCGTTTCTCTTTTGCAAGCCGGAGCTGGCTTTGGCGGAGTTTGCAATTTGCAAACTGGGGCGGCGGCGTTGTTACAAACCCAAAGAAGGCCGCTCCCTTGCAAAAGCCGGAGGGGGAGTTGGCGATGCACGCGTCGCCGGGCGGGCCCCAGGCCCAGGCCCGACAAGAACCCCCCCACCTCTTGGCCCGTTTCTCCAGGTCCCCCTCAGCTTCTTACCTAGCTTTCGCTGACCTCTCGTAACTCCATCCCGCCCCGGCGCCGAGTGGGTCCCCGAAGCCGGCGCTGGGGTAGTTCCTGTCCATGAATTGGCCGCGGTGGAAATTGGGGGGAGGGGGAGGGAGGGGGAAAGGAGGGGGCGCGCGCGCGCTCTCCTCCGCCGCCGCTCCCTCCGCTGCTTTTTTCCTCTCCCTCTTTTTTTTTTTTTTTTTCTTCGCGGCCACCGAAGGTCCGGGAAGGCCCCGGGCGGGGGAGGGAGGGGGCAGGGATGGAGGGGCGGGCAAAGGAGGGGTGCAGCCGCTGAGCCGAGGAGGGGGGGTTCCCCCTGGAGGAGGGAAAGGGGGGAGGAGGGACCCCGCTGTCTCCGCCTTTGCCCCGCCGCTTGCAAGAGAGAAGGGGGACGCGCACTCGGGAGGGGGCGTCCCGGACGGCCCCGGAGTGGGTGCAGGCGCTGGGTGCTCGCTCTTTCGCCGCCGCCGCCGCCGCCTCCTCCTCCTCTGCGCTCACGGTGCAGCCATCTTTGCACAAGGCGGCTGGGGGAGGGGGGAGGGGAAGGGGGGCGGGCGGCGGGGTGTCTGGCTGCGCTCCGCTTCCTCCCACAATCCCGGGGGGGGGGGGGGTGGGGGGGGGGGGGGTGGGGCGGGGGCAGGGGGAGAAAGAAAGACAGAGAAAAGAGATAAAAGGAGAGAGGAGAGATAAAGAGAGAGAGAGAGAGAGAGAGAGAGAGAGAGAGAGAGAGAGAGAGAGAGAGAGAGAGCGCGCGCGCGAGGAACGAGAGAGAGCGAGCACTAGCGGAGCCTGGGGGTGTAGGGCACAGCGCCCGTACAGAAATCCAGCTCCACCGCGCGCAGATGCGCCCAGGAACGGGGTTCAGTTCGTTTGCATTTTTATTTTTCGCTAATTGTTTCAATTTTGAGTTGGGGGGTTTCTTTCTTTTAAGTCTCTTCCTTTTCAAAGGGTTTTTAGGTAGACGCTCAGCTCAACTTCATTTCCCCGAGTGCAATACAATCCTAACACCCCTTTTACAGCACATAGCAAACGCGCCCTCCACCTTTATGCTGGATTATGAACTGCCCAGGTGCCCGAGTGGAGAAACACACGAAGACGGGGGTGTGCATGGGCCTGGTTCTCTGTGTGTACGCTCCCCACGACACCAGTGGGGCGACAGTCGAGTCATGTCCAAGTTTCTAAAGGAGCCTGCCCACTCCGAGGCAGGGCTGCTGATCAGGAAAGGGGGGGGGGGCGAGAGACAGGGGCACGGACTCCGCAACAGGATGGTCAGGGACATGCGTGTATCCGTGCGTGGCGGAAACACGTGTGTCGTGTAGACCTCGGGTCCGACGACCCTGACTCCCCCACGCACACACTGATGAGGAGTCGAAGAGGCCCAGCGACTTCCGGAATCCGCTGTGAATCAGGGGCACAATTCGGGAGCCCGCGTTCCGGAGCAGGTCTTCAGTGAGGCCTTCTGAGGCTACCCGGGGTGGGGGTGGGGAGTGTACAGTGCGGAGTCAAACAAGCCCCCTCCACCAAGACCACACCGACCCGCCCTTGGTGCCTCAGCCAATCCTGGATCCTGTAGGCACAAGCCCCACCTTCCTGAAAAGCTGCACTCTTCCAAGGCTGGTCCACGCCCCTACAGACAATTGCGTAGGGCCCGCCCTGCCCTGCAAGCCCCGCCCCTTGTAGATTCCCAAAGCACCAAACCCTGCCCTTGGGGACACACCCCTCCCACGCTTGGCCTTTCACCGCACTATACCCCTTGGAGAAGCCCCACCCCGTACCTGGAGTAAGGGGGCGGAGGGGCGTCATGCACACCCGACGCTGCTAACGCCTGCTCGTAAGTGGGAAGGCCTGGAGGTAAGGGTGGAAACAAGGGCGTCGGGGGAGTCAGGGGACTGATGAGCCCGGTCCTGCGGACAGAAAGAGAGTAGTTAGTATAAAAGCTACCATGGAGTTTAAGAGCACTGGCTGGTCTTGCTGAGGACCCAGGTTCCTTTCGCAGCACACACATGGCGGCTCATAACGATCTGTAACTCCAGTCTCAGAGGATCCAACGTCCTCTTATGACCTCTGATTGTACGAGGCATACATGTGGTACATATACATACATGCATGCAAAACACCCATACACATAAAATAAATCTTTAGAAGAAATGAAACAAAACCTACATGACCAAGGGGTTATAGACCAAGAGACTGAGGGTAGGAGGGGACAGAGGGGAAGAGAGATGGCCCAGAAAAGTGCCTCAAAGGACAGCCCGATGGACATAGACAGATAGACATGAAAATGAGCCTCGAATGTACACTCTCATCCACAGAAACATGGGAGCACCAAAGTAACAGAATATCAGGTGGACAGACAAGACAAAGTTCAGCAGAGCCACACAGACAGAAACACAATTCTGAAACATTTAGTTCTAAAATTTCCCAAATCTACTCTTTTAGCTAAGGTCGCCTAAGCTGGCTTCAAAACTTCCAACAATCCTGCCTGTCCTCCCAAGTATTGGAATTGCATGTGTGAGCCACCCTGCCCAGCTTCCAAATCCATTCTTTTACATTTTAATAGATTTTTTAAAGATTTATTTACTTATTTATTACGCAGTGTTCTGTCTGCATGTATGCCTGCAGACCAAAAGAGGGCACCAGATCTCATTGCAGATGGTTATGAGCCACCGTGTGGTTGCTGGGAATTGAACGCAGGACCTCTGGAAGAGCAGCCAGTGCTCTTAACTTCTGAGCCATCTCTCCAGCCCTAAATTTCTATAATTAAAGTACAGTTATGTATTCTATGGGTGTGCACACATGCTAACACACAAATGATGGTCAGAGGAGAACTTGGGGGAGGGTTTTCGCCTTCCACCACGCAGATCCTTGGACTAGAACTTCAGTTTGTCAGGTCTAGGGGGCCCCCAGAACCCAGGCCATCCTATGTCCCTGCATGGGCAGCCTTTCCCCAGGCCTTCCACTGCTGATCCTACACCTTCACTTCTCTTTCCAGTTTATTTTGAGAAAGGTCCTCCTTAAGTTCCCCAAGCTAGCTTTGAACTCACATCAGAGTGGAAAGGTCTTGAAAAATTTTAGATCTTCCTGAAATGACAGGAGGGAAGCGCCATGATACCCAGCTACTGCTATCAGACACCCTTGAACCTCTGCTGGTGTGACCTGCACCCATGGAAAGGCAGTGCCACCGACAGCGATGGACAACAGCCCCCACTTGCATTCCACCCAGTGTTGACCTCTCTGAAGACTGCTAGGTCTCAACTTCACATCGACTTATTCTCCATAGGCCCGTGGCTCCAGACTGGTCTTGCCCCTCAGATCAAGCCTCCTCCCTCCCACTTTGCTCTCCATCACTCCCCCCTCCTGGAAGACCCCTTACTCTTGCTGACTGGACTCCTGCACTCTGAGTCGGCGCTGCCGTCGGTAGTGCAGATACCAAAAGGCTCCCAAGCCAGCCAAGACGATGAGCAGGATCCCAGAGGTGAGTCCCACCGCCAAGCCTGCAACATCTACTCGTCCACGCCCTGTGGGTAGAGGGTACCACTGTCCCAGGGGCTGCTACCTCCTCCAGCTTCTCTATTCTTTTCCCTAAGGGCATGGGCTAGGAAGCAAGGCTGCTCTGAGTTCCCTTCCTGCTACTCTGGCCTCAGGCAACAAACACTAAGGCTTTCTCAGAGCATCTGTTTCTTGCTTTGCAGAACGGGAACATGAGCCCTACCAGTCTATCATGAAAACTCACTGAGATCTAAGTAGGGAGCCATGGCTCTGGCCTGTCATCTCAGCTGTTTGGGAGGCTGAAGCTGAAGTCTGACGGTGAATTCAAGGTCAGCCTGGGTAAGTTAGCTAGACCCTGTCACAAAACCACAAATGAAAAGGGGTTTGGATGTGGGCTGCAACTCAGTGGTAGAACAGCTGGCAGCGCACTTCAGGCCCAGGTTCATCCCTACTACTGGAGAGGGGAGGGAGGGAGGAAGGGAGGGAGGACAGTTTATTGCAAACACGCTAATGGCAGATCTTCTACTTCAGCTGAGCTGTGTCAGCACGGCACAAGAGGACGGGGCCGTTCCACAGGACGGCTTCAGCACGTACAGGGATAACAACGGATAAGCTGGCAGACACCTTGAAATATGGAGGTGTCGAACCCCTTCAACAAACTAAGGATGCAAAAGGAGACTTTAACATCCTTGCCCTCAGTCTGACGTGGTTTGCTTTTGGTTCTTTTTATTTTTAAATATGTTTATATGCTTTTTGTCATGCTGGAGACTGAAACTAGGATTTTTGTTTGTTTTGTTGTTCTTCTTCTTTTTGGTTTTTCAAGACAAGGTTTCTCTGTGTAGCCCTGGCTAGCCTAGAACTCACTCTGTAGACCAGGCAGGCTTTGAACTCACAGAGATTGATCTGCCTCTACCTCCGGAGTGCTGAGATTAAAGGTGTGCGTCACTGCTGTTCCAATGAACTTCTAGCTTTAAAAAAAATTATTTTTGTAAGGGGATGGTGGCTCACACCTTTAATCCTAGCACTCAGAAAGCGAGGTAGGCAATCTCTGTGAGTTCAAGGCCAGCCTGATCTACAGAACGAGTTTCAGGACTGGCTCCATAGCTACTGAGAAACCAAAAAAAAAAAAAAAAAAAAAAAAAGAGGGTGTTAGATCCCCTGGAACTGGAAGTGGTGGTTGTGACCACTTTGTAGGTCTAGAAACTGAACCTAGGCCCTCTAACACTCTCTAGCAAGTATTCTTAATCCCTGAGCCATCGCTCTAGTCGCCTATTGGTTTCCTAAATAATCCATTCTATTATTTTATTTGTATTTGTGCGTATGTGTAAGGGAGGTGGTGCATGTGTGTGTGGATGCTCAGAGGTCAGAGAAAGGCACTGGACCTTCTGGAGCTGCTGGAATCATCACCAGTTGTGAGCAGCACTCAAATGGGGTGCTGGGAACCAAGCTGAAGTATTCTGTAACAGCAGCAAGCACTCTTCAGTGCTGTGCCATCTTTCTAGCCCTTACTGCTGATTAAATAGGTGTGTGTGTGTGTGTGTGTGTGTGTGTGTGTGTGTGTGTGTGTGTGGACAACTTCCTGAAGTTACTTCTCTTACTCTACCATGTGGTACCCAGGTGACAAGCACAGTCACCTGCTGAGCAGTCTCACTGGGGTGCCTTGTTTTTAGAGACATGTTCTCTCATTAGGAGGGGCTCAGTGACTTGGGCAAGCTGGTTACCCAAGGAGCCCCACGGACCCTCCTGTCTCTCCTCTCCCACAGTGGGATTACAACCCAGCTTTTCCCTGGAGAGTCAGGGGATCAAACTAGGGTCCTTGGGGTTGCATGGCCAGCACTTTACCAACTAGTCCATCTCTCCAGCCCTTGTTTTTGTTTTATTGAGACATGGAGTCTCAAGCTGACCTCAAACTTGATATGTAGCACAGGCTGGCCGTGTGCTAACAATCTTTCCACTTTGGCCTTTGGAGTAGCTTGGATTGCGAGGCCAAGGCCGGGGCCATCAAATCTGGCTACCTCCTATCTCCACCTCCAACCTTGCTTTTAGCTTGCAGTGAGAAGATAGGACTTTTAAAGACAGGCAGATTTCAGGTGATCCAAGGAGCCTCTAGGCCTTGCTTGGATTGTAGACAAGGAACTATCTCCCCTAGCAACCGGTTCCACTGTGAGGACTACAGTACAGACCCAGGGCCTGTTGCTAAGGTGCATCTACCCCTAGCAACCAGGCCATGAGGGGGTGGGGCAGCTGGTGCCCAGAGGGGGTCCTTCAGCTGGGCAGGAGGCTCTGGTCTTCCAGCTAGGTACAGTTGCTAGGGAGAAGGCCTCCTTAGCAACCAGGCAGACTGTGGCTGGCATGGGGCTATGGGGGAGGGGAAGCCAGACAGGTAGTGCTTCTGACTTCCTCTGTCTGGCCTGGCCAGGGCCTGTTGCTAAGGAGCAGCCCCCCTTAGCAACAAGGCTCAAGCCAGGATGAGGACTTCAGAACTCAGAGGAGGGGCTGGGGTAGGCAAACTGGACAGGTGAGAATGGCCAGGCTTCCTGCCCGAGCTCGTTGCTAGGGCACAGCCCCACTAGCAACCAAGATGCTGGTAAGGGGCTGGGGCTCTGGAATCTAAAGGAGGACCCAGGTTGTCCTATCAGAGCTTGTCCTTATGATAGATAGGCCCATGACAATAACCCACCCACATGCCCCCCCCCAGGGGTTGGGCCCTCCTATGAATCTGCATGCAGTTGTGCTGGGTTTTCAGACAAGGGCCATAACGAAAAGGGAGGGGACACCTTGTCAGTCATCTCTGGACAGCATGGGATTTGAGGGAAGGTGGGCCTTTGCATTGAACTCTAGGGCTAAGGGCCACTTCCCCATCATGGAGCGAGAGGACCGAGGACCGAGGACCACTCACCTCCCTTGCCATTGTAGGTGTAATGTTCCCAGTAGCGTTCCTAGAAGGAGGGGACGAGAAGGGGAAAGCAGCAGCTAGACATGGAGCAGTCCCCACAGCCAGTCCATGCTGGTATTTGAAACCCCAGGGAGGCAGAGAGGGTCCTCTGAGGCTCTCACCGTCAGTGTGTTATCCTCAAAGTATTCCCGGGCCTCCTCCCAGGAGCACCTCTCCTCGTGACACTCCCGCTCCAGGTTCCCAGGGGTCAGCAACTCCAGGTCCCAGTGGTTAGCCCGAGGAACCCGCCTGCGGCCAACTAGGAAACTCTGGGCCTCCGGAGGATTCAGGAATATGTCAAGAACTAAGGACATCAGGGTCAAAAGCAGAGAGTCCTTAGGATTGAGGACAAGGAAGATAGAGAGTTATGGGGTTCTGAGGGGTGAGGGCCAGGCTTGGAAACCCCTGGATCTGAGCAAGGAGAGCCGGGGTCTGGATAGTTGGGTATGAGGGTGAAAAATTGGAGTCTAGAAATCTATTTCTGAAGGAGGAAGGCTGAGGCTGGACTTGTGGGTCGGAGGGAAGAGGCTGGGACCTAGACTTTTGGGTCTGAGGGAGAGCTGGGGTCTGGGAAGCCAGGAAGTATCCTGGGTAGGAGAAGGCAGAAATTTTTTTAAAAAAATATTTATTTATTTATTTATTTATTTATTTATTTATTATGTATACAATGTTCTGTCTGTGTGTATGCCTGCTGGCCAGAAGAGGGCACCAGACCCCATTACAGATGGTTGTGAGCCACCATGTGATTGCTGGGAATTGAACTCAGGCAATGCTCTTAACCTCTGAGCCATCTCTCCAGCCCAAGAAGGCAGAAATTAAACCTCTGTAAGGCTCTTCCTCAAACACTCACCTTGGTTTTGCTCTTCATAAGGTAAGGTGTCCAGGCAGGTGGTCAATCCCATATAGACTAAGAGCAGGGAAGGATGGCCCCTCATATTGTGTGGATTCCCAAATGCCTCAGCAGAGTTATGAGGCAAGAACTCCCTGCCTGGACTCTGCAGTCAGTGAATGAAAGAAAAAGCAAGCACTCAACCTGTAACCTATGCCAGACACTATTGGTCTGTATCAACTCATTTTAATTCTCAAAACAATCCAATTTGAACAATCTCCTGCCATTCTATTTCTTATTTTTATTTTTGGTTTTTCGAGACAGGGTTTCTCTGTGGTTTTGGAGCTTGTCCTGGAACTAGCTCTTGTAGACCAGGCTGGTCTCGAACTCACAGAGATCTGCCTGCCTCCGCCTCCCAAGTGCTGGGATTAAAGGCGTGTGCCACCACCGCCCGGCTCTCCTGCCATTCTATAGACGAGAAAACTGTCACCGGGTGGTAAAGCGACTTGCCTACGCACCAGGTATTCGAATGTGAGAGGAGGGAGGACCTCAGAGATGGCAGTGCCTGCCCCATGATGAGCACAAAGTCCGTGTGCTCTCGTCTATCCCTCTGCCGTATCCACAGTACCATGTGACACAGTAAGCAATTTCAACAGGTTCATCCGCAGTCCTGCTCCCTTCCAACCTGGCAGGTTTCATTCCAAGTCAACCTCCCTCTGCCGTTGCCTCATCCACCCCCAGAGATCAAAGATTATAGAACAAATGAGGTCCTAAATGTCTAGGTCTGAGGTCTTGAGGGAACGGGACCCTGAACTCCAGGGCCTAGGATTTAGGGTCCCAAGTCTCTGGATCCCAATGGTGTGGGAAGTCAGGACACCAGAGTGCCCCTCCACACCCCAAGTTTCTCTGAGAGCAGTATCCACTTACCTGCCCAGACCTGGGAGCCCTGCCTCTCTTCTGTAATGAAGACCCCCTGGGTCAACAGTAGCCAGCTGTGAAAAAGGGGAGGGGAAGAAGGAGGGGAGAGGAAGGAGGGGTGCTTCTCTTCGGTAACAAGGCCCAATCCCGGCTTCTGGCAGGGGGCGGGGCCACTGGTTACCTGCTCTGGGAGGGACTCAGGTAAGAGACAAAGTACTTAAAGGAACCTTAGGACCAAGGGCTCCACGGACACAGCCCCACATACGAGCAAGACTTTGCACATTACGGAGGGATCTAAGGAACCTTATTAGAGTCTCTTCCTCTCTCCTTTCCCAGCCCGGCTCTCTCCCTACAGACAATTTGCTTGGCAGAGCCAGGAAAATAAATCTTGAGTCTCTAGAGATCTACAAACTGGTGGGAACGGAATGCTTTGATTCCAGGAATAACTGGGCGGTACCACATCCTATCTGTTTGCTGAGGGTGACTGACGTGGACAGCTTGGCCTCGTGATCTTTTGATTATTGCTTATTCTATAATTTAGGCAAAATCGTCTCTTAAGATGTAATGGGAAAAATAGGTATATATTTGGGAAAGTGGGCATCAGAATATCTGGGCGAAGGAGTTAGTCCTTAAACTCAGACTTGAAAAGAATCAAAGCAACTACACCACTCTGCCTAACACAGGTTAAGTGGTCTCCGATAGTCAAGCCATTTTCGCTAACCGGAACCTTCGAGTTGTCACTCACGTTTCGGTGGGGGGAAGAGAAGAAGAAAGGACTTACCAAACCACGAGAAGCGCCTCCACTACTAGGGGCAGTATTATTTCCGGTGTCTGCTGCCGAGCGGAAGTGGGAGGAGTGTAGTGAAAAAAAAAAAAACAGTACTCTTTTCCGGTTCGGGACACAGTTGAAGCCACGACGGATCGGCTAACCGTTTGTGAGGTGAGCTGCAGGCCGTGTGGGGTCGCGTCGCTAAGAGTCCCTTCTTGTGGGTGGGATATTTGAAGTTCCGAGGGACACAGGATAAGGTTTCGCACTCCGACTTCCTGTTAATCATTAACAGACGCTCCGACTCCTTGAGTTGGAAGCTGAACTACATCTCCCAGCATGCCTTGCAATATGTCGTCCTCATCCTGACCACTCTTAGAAAATGTAGTTCCGTAGTGGAAAAGGGTCCGTACCAGTGCAGGAATGAACGTGGGATTCCCTGGAATAGTGAAGAGTTGAGGCAGGATCCCTTAATCCGCTTCAGTTTACCAGCAGTAGTGGATAAGGCCCTAAAGGATCCTTGAAGGAAGTGAATTATTTTACTTGAGACAGAGTCTCACGTAGCCTTCACTGTCCCAGAACTCACTATGTAGTTCAGGCTGGCCTCAAACTCAGAGAGATCCACCTGCCTCTGCAGCCCCAAGTGTTCGCATTAAAGGTGTTCACCACACCCAGCCACTTTCCCCCATTTGTTTATTATTTTTATTATTGCTTTTCAAGATAACCTTGTGTAACAACCCTGACTACCAGGGACCTCACTTTGTAGACCAGGCTGGCCTCGAACTCACAGAGATCTGCCTGCCTCTGCCTCCCAAGTGCTGGAATTTAAGGTGTGGACCACCCTGTGATTTTTTTTTTTTTGGTTTTTTCGAGACAGGGTTTCTCTGTGGTTTTGGAGCCTGTCCTGGAACTAGCTCTTGTAGACCACAGAGATCCGCCTGCCTCTGCCTCCCAAGTGCTGGAATTTAAGGTGTGGACCACCCTGTGATTTTTTTTTTTTTGGTTTTTTCGAGACAGGGTTTCTCTGTGGTTTTGGAGCCTGTCCTGGAACTAGCTCTTGTAGACCACAGAGATCCGCCTGCCTCTGCCTCCCAAGTTCTGGGATTAAAGGCGTGCGCCACCACCGCCCGGCCGGTGATTTGTTTTTTGAGAGAGGGTTGCATGCCGTGCAGGATGGCAGGATCTGTGTATGGAGATTAAGATTTATTTATAATGGGCGTGGCGCCCCTATATCCAGAGAGCCTGGGGTGTTTGAGTGAAAGTGTCATCCCAGCCCCTGGCATCCATATAGCCTAAGAGTCTGGAATATTCGCATGGAAGTTCCATTCCAAGTCCCCTCCCCTGGGAGTTGCCTTAGTCCAGACTCCACCCCTGAGAAAACCTGCCAAAGGATGACCCCTCCCCAGAGATGCACAAGACCCCTCCCACAGGGAATTTAAACTGCCACCCAGATAACAAACTTGTAGTTTTCTGGTCTTCCTTCCCCAACTCCTCTCTGGGGTACTGGAAAGCCGTCCGGGAGCATTGGTATCCAGTAAACCTGGGCTTTTTCTAATTCGGTTTGATTTGGTCTGATTCAGATGATTGCATTGTTAGAGAAGTTTGTAGGGGTGCAGAAACTTTTAGTGGCCACATCTTTAACCCCAGCACTAGGGAGGCAGAAGTAGGTGGATCTCTCAGGGAGTGAGGCCAGCCTGGCTCACATATGCTGCTCCAGGCCAGCAAGAGCTACATAGTGAGACCCTATCCCAAAAAGGAAAAGGATTTTCTTATTTTATGTGAATGAGTGAGGTTTTTGATTTTTTGTTTTGGTTTTGCCAGACAGGGTTTCTCTGTGTAGCCCTAGCTGTCCTGGAACTCACTCTGTAGATCAGGCTGGCCTTGAATTCACAGAGCTCCACCTGTTTCTGCCTCCCACGTGCTGGGATTAAAGGTGTGCGCCACCTTGAATGACCATTTTGCGCTGCATTGTGCACCACTCGAATACGGTGCCTATAGAGGCCAGAAAAGGGCCATCAGCTCACCCGGAACTAGAATGAATCACGAGCTGCCGTGTGTATGTTAGAGTCAAACCCAGGTCCTCTGGAAGAACAGCCAGTGCTCTTGGCCTCTGCCCAATCTCGTCTGCCTCCTCATTTGTTTTTGTTTGTTTTGTCTTTGTTTTGAGACGGGTAGGACTGTACTGAAATTATAAGCATGCAGTCACCACTCCTAGCTCATGTTGTTCTTATTTTTCAGTGAGCTTTATTGAGATATAATTTCACGTAATATATACTTTGCCCACTTAAAGCAAACAATTCGGAGTGTATTCACAGAGTTGTATGGGCATCACCACTAACAATTTTAGAGCATGTTCTCTGGGTGTGGTAGCACAGACCTGTAATCCCTCCTGTTCCAGGGGATCTAATGCCCCCTTCTGGCCTCCAAGAGCGCCAGACAGGAGCCTGCTATGCAGATCACTCCTTTGCCTAGGCAGCAAAATCAGAAGTTCAAGGTCATCCTCAGGCTGCTTATAGTATCAGAGGCCAAGCTGAGCTGTCTCAAGTCAACTTTAGGACATGTTTAACATCCCCAAAGAAATCCTGTCCTACATTCTTTGTCACCTCAGTCTTTCCTACCCCCAGGCTTTGGCAGCCTCTGAATGCCTATGAATTTGCCTGATCTGCACATGTCTCCTAACTGCAGTCATACAGGTGTGGGCTCTGTGGCTGGCTTTCCTCACTTGGCATGTTGTTTCTAGGCCCTCCATACTATATCCTGACGCCTGTCTGTGGGTGCACAGTATTCTGTTACATCCTGACTGACTGTCTGTGGATGTACAGTATTCTGTTACATCCTGACTGTCTGTACACAGTATTCTGTTACATCCTGACTGTCTGTGGATGTACAGTATTCTGTTACATCCTGACTGACTGTCTGTACACAGTATTCTGTTACATCCTGACTGACTGTGGATGTACAGTATTCTGTTGTGTGAGATACGGCACATTTCACTTCTCCTTCGGTTGATGGACCGTTAGAATTGTTTCAACTTTTTGGCTGTTGCAGCTGGTGCTACTGTGCATATATGTGTGCTACTGTACACATGCGTGTGCGACTGTGCACATGTATGTAACGAGGTTTGTGTGGATATGTTCTGACATTCCCTGGGAGTAAGGTCTGTGGGTCACGGCTTGTGGCGTCCTCTGGAAGAACTTCCTCCTCAATTGATGTGTATGCCTCTCAGTTCCTCTTCATTATTACTAACGATTTATTTATTTTTGCCTGCATGTATGTCTGTGTGAGGGCACCAGGTCCCCTGGAGTTACAGACAGCTGTGAGCTGCCATGTAGGTGCTGGGAATTGCACCCCACTCCTCTGGAAAAGCAGCCAGTGTTCTTAACCACCTCTCAGCCCTCTCTCCAGGACCCTATGCTCACTTAACTGTTGGTTGCACATGGTTATAATAGTAGGGCGTGAACTGGTTCTTCATTGTGGTTTTTATTTTAATTTTGTGTTTGCGTGGTGCTGGGGATGAAATCTCTGAGTGTATGTTGATGCTCACAGAGGCCAGAAGAAAGCATTGTATTCTGGAGTTACAGATGGTTGTGAGCCCTCAGTCATGGGTGCTGGGAATCAAACTCTGGTCCTTTACAAGAGCAGCAACTACTTTAAATCCCTGGGTTATCTCTTCAGCCCCAGCTTTTGTTTGTTTGGTTGTGTGGTTGGTTGGTTTTGGTTTTGGTTGTTTTTAGTATTTCGAGACAGGATTTCTCTGTGTAGCTCTGGCTGTCCTAGATCTCACTCTGTAGAGTAGGCTGGCCATGTAGGTGCTGGGAATTGTACCGCTGTTCTTTGGCATTCTGGCAGCTGCAACTGGTTCCCCTCTCCCATATGACACAGCTCAGTCTGGTTATGTGCACTCTGAATCCTCCCAGATGTCCCTGCCTCTGGGCTGTGCTCTCCTGCACATCTGTAACAAACTCTCTCTGGGCTGTGCTCTCCTGCACATCTGTAACAAACTCTCTCCGGGCTGTGCTCTCCTGCACATCTGTAATAAACTCTTTCTGGGCTGTGCTCTCCTGCACATCTGTAACAAACTCTCTGGCTGTGCTCTCCTGCACATCTGTAACATCTTACAAGGTCCTCTGCTTCCCTCCTAAGCCCCAGCAGAGAGACACTTAGAAGACAGACAGGAGAGTGTGGCTGTGACATCAGCAGTGCAGGGTTGACATGGGCACAGGGAGATCTCTGGGACTTGACGGCGGCCAGGGCTACAGAGTGAGTTCCAGGCTAGCCAACTAGCCAAGGCCACATAGTAAGTCCCAGCCTCAAAAATGCGAACAGGGGCCAGGCTTCTCTTGGTTCTCATTTGAGAAGTGTTTATTGTTATCTGTGCGTATTCATTGTGTGTGTGCGTGTGTGTGTGTGTGCGCACACGTTCATGGTGTGTGTGTATTCATGGTGTGTGTGGGTGTGCATTAATGGTGTGTGTGCACATTCATTGTGTATATGTGTGTGCGTTCATGGGGGGGGTGTTCATGGTGTGTGTGTGCATTCATGGTTTGTATGCACATTCATTGTGTGTGTATATGTGTGTGCGTTCATGGTGTGTGTACATTGTGGTGCATGTGCATTCATGGTATGTGCACATTCGTGGTGTGTATGTGTGCTTTCATGGTGTGTGCACATGTGTTCATGGTGTGTGTGTGCGTTCATGATGTGTGTGCATTCATGGTGTGTGTGCGCGTTCATGGTATGTGCATATTCATGGTGTGTATGTGTGCTGATGGTGTGTGTGTGCATGTATTCATGGTGTGTGTGCGTATTCATGGTGTGTGCGCGCTCATGGTGTGTGTGTGTTCATGGTGTTTGTGTGCATATACGCATTTTGTGTGATGCTGGAGCCATTGTGTCACGGCACACAAGCTCAGAGGCCATCTTTGTGTCTCTCCTCATGCTCACGTGAGTTCTGGGGTTGGAACTCAGGCTGCCAACTTGCACAGCGAGTTTTTTTTA